ATACGCCCTAACAATTGACAACACTATCCATGTTATTGAGTTCAATCACATCCGTCTTAAACGTGTTGTTGAGTATATTTTTGTTGCGGCGGTTAGTATTGGGTGACCACGTCGTGGCCGTAAACACCGACGACTTCTTCGGCGATTTGTCTGTTGAATGGAAAACAATAAAAATAAAATTTTCATTAACTTTTTTTCAATTAAATGTTTATAAAATAATTATGTAATAAATTAAATGCGTATGTATTCTGTGCACACAAAAAAAGCAAAAAGGACTTTTAGGGCTATTAAACACCTTTAATGATCATTATTTTGTTGGTTAACCATTTAATTTACAAACTCAGCGCTGTTTTTTACCATGGTACTTTTCTATAGTCCTTTTTATACACACTCTTTGAGCTCATGTTTTATACACACTCTCATTGATAGCCCTTTTGTATTGCAATACATTGACAGCTGTTTTACACACTCTTATAATTTAAACTTAAATCTAGACTTAAAACTATACAAACATTTTAGCAAACATTTCATATAAATAAGTTATTTCTCAAATCAATAATTCATTACAGCTTTTTAATGAAAATCAAATTTTAAAATCCATTAAAAAACTTATTTTTTGAAATTTTAAATAATAAAATTCAAAAAATAAATTACTAAAAATACGGCCAATAGTGTAGTGTACACCTTTTAATGTACTCTATTCTCAAACCGGATATTTAAACGTTATATACTTTTACATACATTGAATATAAAACGAAAATTTAATCTAATTTTGTAAACACATTAAACAATAGTCAAACTCTAAATATAATTACATCTTACTCTACATTATAATTAAATTTTAATTAAAATTGTAAATACAATAAAAAGCCTGTAAAACAATTCATACAACAATCTATACGTACAGTATATGAGTATAGTATGTGTTGTTAAGTATACTTTATATAATTGTATGCTATTATATAAGTGGCAATTCATTAACAAAACTACTGGCGTTCAGAGTATTATCCGCTAAACAATTATTGAAATTAAATTCAAAACACATACACATTGTTATAGAAAAAAAATTAATAACAATATACTGTATATTGAATTCTTGATAAATACAACAGAATATTTTGTGCGCAAAATAATGATAAATAATTTTAACTATAATGGTCAAAAATATAATTAATAATACGATACAACATTTTATGTAGTGTATGTGACACCATATGAAATCATTTTTAACAGTCACAGAATATTCCGTAAAAATTCTCAGAAAAATTCTATATTTAGATATTTTGTGATATTTGAGACTTAATTGAATTGCGAATCTCGTAAAAAGATTTAATTTCCCATTTCTGGGAATTTTAATTTATAATCATTGTTGTTTAGTAAACAACTTTTACCACATTTTATTTACTAGTTTAACAAATTAACACTATGTTTTCTCGTTTAGGGTAAACATGCAGTGTATTTACTTTTACTATCCGTAGTAAGTCTTATAAAAAGCCAATAATAACTTAAATACGAAAAAAACTAATTTGTATTTAATATATACTTACGTTTACGATGTATAATGAGATTGAGTTTATTCTCGCACCGGAATATCGAGCACAAGGCTTGACGAAAATTTTTATTAAAGCCGCCGTATATTATTGGGTTGAATACGCTGTTTGAATAGGCGATGAAAGTGGCGAAATATGATACACTCGAGAACCACTTCGGTAACTATAATAAATAAATATGGTATTTATATAAAGCTTGTTATAATTACTTTATTCAATATATAGTATTTATTTAAGAATTACAGAATATTCTGTTCAATCATTCACAAATGTAATAATCTTATTTTTCTATTCATAAAATATGTTATTGACTAGAAAA